CTTTTGCTTTTTCCATTAGTTTATTATTTTGTTTGTATTTCCTTTTCATTCCTGAAAAGCACTTTGTATTGTCTTATTGCTGAAAATGTGCTATATAAATAAAATTATATTTACCTTTTACCTTTATGGTTTTTGAAGTGTAATTAAAAAGTGTTTCTGGCATTAAGTCTAATTTCCTTCTGCAGTCATGGATCCATTAAGAATTCAGTGGTTTTTCCATCAGGAAGGGGACATGGAGTACCAGCCAGCACAAAGGTGGGAGCAAGGGCACTGATCACATGAAATCCAGTGAAATTACCACCCCACAGGGGTCAGTCATTTGAGGTGGAATGTGTGTTGAACAAATGCCAGAGTGACCCCGCCATGACACCCACTCAGAGGGCATGGAAAGCCGTCCAGAGTTGACTTCTGCTTGGCTGCCCACTCACACAGCCCAAAGCTGAAGTAAGATCAAATCCATTCAGGAATCTAACAAGCCTTTCATTTTTCCTTTTGTTGATTTTGCTGATAATTCAGTGTCTAAACTCACTATTCTGCACACATCCTGTTTCCATTTATTTCCTCCCTCCGCTGGAAACATACTTTATGAACCTCCAGCTCAGCCTTCAGTGGTCACATGACAGAGATTTAGACTAGCACAGTTCAACACCTACAACTCTGTGTGCATTCTTCACAGACAGCAACATCACAAGGACACAGCCGTGTTAAACATCCCAGCGGTGCAGCGGTTGTGTAACCTCACTAAGACTGACTGTATATCTACATTCACTCAGCCAGGTAGGTGCTGTCTACTTTGATTAATAATATTTTTATTGCATTCCCTGATAGTTAGTGGTGAGCTCATTGAAAATGCAGACTGTTCTTTGAGATTTTTTTTTTCTTAATGCAACCTATGTGCAATTTTAGAACCAAAGTGAATGTTAATCTATAAATCACATTTAAGATCATGCAAGTTCGACTGAAGTGCTGTGCAATCAAATTAAACTAAAGTAAAGGAAGCAGAACAGAGAACCATGTATTGCTAAAACAGCAAAACAATACAATAAATACACTTATAACGTGTGAAATAGCGACAGACTGGCGACCTGTCCAGGGTGGACCCCGCCTCTCGCCCGGAACGATAGCTGGAGAGGCACCAGGAACCCTCCTGACCCCACTAAGGGACCAGGGTGTAAAGAAAATGGATGGATGGCTGGATGGATGGATGGATGGATGGATGGATGGATGGATGGATGGATGGATAACATGTGAAATAGAAACTATTTGAAAGAGAAAAATAGATTAAAACTCTGTTTGGAAGAACTCGTGGTGGGCTTGCATCCAGCTGATTGTCAGTTTGAGATTTTTTTTTCCTGTTGAATATATATTTTCAGAGGCATTTTTACGTACATTGGTGAAATTCCAACAAAATAACAAAAAATACAAGATTTTTTATAATTAATTTCAACATGCTGAAATGAAGTATAAGTCAAAATAATTTTCTTAAGTTTTAAGTCAAAATTTTATTCCATATTAAATTTGGACTTAAAATTCATCTTGTATAGCCAATTATTTATCTATAACATGCCTTAAAACTTGACAATGTGCACAGATTTGCACCACATATTCCACTTTACCCAAACATATCATTTTACAGTATTTTTCTGCAGCGTTTTAAGTCTAAATACATCAAACTCTGTTTTAAATGGTACTTTCAAGAAAATGTGAAACACTTTTGACTTCACTGTGGCAGAAAAGAGGTGTGGAACCCTGGGAGTTGTGAGGGAGGGATTCTTGGGAACATTTCTGTTTAAGGTGAATTTCGAAGGAAATCCAAACTGGATTATCATGTTTTGTTGTTTTTTTTTTTTTTTTAGTGGAGTAACTCCACCAACTTTAATCGTTATTGTGAGACTCAGGTACAGATACACAGACTTTTTGGTTTGAAGAAACAGCTGACACATAGACGTAATAATGTTGTTGTTGTTGTTGTTGTTGTTGTTGTTTTTAAAAAGGACCAAAAAGTACTACAAATTTTGAAGTTTGGCTCTCCTGTGTCGCTAGAACTCTGTTTTTTTAGAGGGCATAGTCAGACTAGTAAATACTGAGAAGGGAGGAGCTTCTTACGTCACTGCATTTCCTCCTATCACAGAGCTCTATGAAACACACGGTTGCCTGCTTTTGAAACTGCTCTCTAACAGGGAGATGACGCAAGTGTCATGGCGGTAGAGCACATGCGCGCGGGTTTAGCCACGCCTCCCCGGCAGTCAAGTGCAGCAGAGACACGGAAGCTGAGTGTACGCTTTTCTGAGTCCGAGTGTGTGTTGGGGTGAGAAGGAGAGCGGGAGGGGGGCACACACACATGCGGGTAACAAATGTAAGACAAAACAGCGACATTAGTGGAGTGAAGATTTTTAGGAGGATAAAGTTCTGATAGGAGCTGTTACTCATGTTCTGAAAGGTAAGGGAATGGGTTTCACTTCCTATTGATTACATTTACGTGACGGAACAAAGAGCTGAAGGTTATTGGATTGTCGGAGTATTTTAACTAAAGCGTGACGCCTCTCACTCCCTCTGGCCCATTCACTGTCCAAAGGGATGACAATGTATAAAGATGGTAATTTTAGAAAAAAATATTTCAATCCAAAAATCCAGGAAGTAAAGCCTCCTTACAATCTGTTGTGTAATGTCATTATCTTGACTAATCTAAGCTCTCATAATTGTTTTCTTGTACCACATTTTTATTCGGTTTCCTGACATACAGTAAACCCCTTGTGCTAACATATTGCTTTTAAAGCCACAGAGCTAAATTTTTTTAGTCATTTGATGATTTTTCTGAAAAATTAGCTGTTTTGTTTTCATTATTGACACAAAAAAGTAACACACCTTGAATGACATGCCACTGCCCTCTATTGTGTGTGTTTGTGTCCCCAACGCTTGGTGCTTTTTATGGGAGCAGACAGCGTGTCAGTGTGTGAAAGGTCACATATCCATAGTTAGAAAGCACATGCGATAGTGATGGAAGAAGAGGTAGGGAAAGACATTCAGAAGATCAATTACACAGATTCTGAGGAGGATGCACTTCCATGCTAACATTTCATTACTTTTGGACCGAGTTGGGAATAGGTGAAGGGAACTGGTTTCAAATTTCATTCTAAAACCCATTTTAAAATCCTGTTAAATTGTATATCCAAATATTATTCTGTTTTTGTTGTTGTTTTTTTTGCTACTAGTGCATTGTAGTAACACGTATCGAACCACAAGATGGCAGTAATTGACCAAGTAGTTTGACAGCTGCCAAAATGCCTTTTAATAAAATGGAGAATCTTACAACACGTATACCCCAAAAAGAAGCCTTTGCCGATTTAATTACAATAAATTCTAACTTACCCTCGTCCATCTTTTTCTACCATACTTTTTCCTTCCACTCAACTTTCTGCTAATATTTGTAGTTGAAGCACTCTCCGTACAACCTTTGGCAAAAAACAACCAACCAGATCCCACAATAAAACAAGGTAGTGGCAGCATCACACTACAAAAACAGTGGTGTTTGTCAAGGTGGATCAGGTTATGAATAGACTAAAATACCATGAAGTTCTAATACCAGTCAAATTACCACTGGGATGGTAATTATTATTATTTTTTACCATCCCAGTGAGTCCAAGTATACACACATCCAAATCAACAAAAGATTGACTTCCTTAGAAGAAGAGTAAAGGTTTGGAACGACTTAGTAAGAGTTCAGGGCTAAATCTGGATTTGGAGAACATTAGCAAGGTCGGAGGGGTAAATATTGCTGTTGAGGTGTGGCATCCTGATGGATTGCTACAAAACACGACAGAATGGAAAGTTGCTTTGACAATTTATTAGTTTACAGGTATGTACACTTGTCCAAACATATTTTTATTTTTTTTCCCTCTGCCTTTTTTTTTCAATTGAATTGCTCAAGACAAATGTTACATTAAAGGTGGAAAAAATTTGAATTATTTTATATATCAGAGTTACTTGTTTGATGGCACTATGTGGCTGGAAATTCAGAGTAAAATTAATCTTTTCTGTACATTTTTCTTCAATGACTTGCATGCAAAGGAGATGTACTCCAGCAGAGTTCAATGCTAAATTCTCACCGTTTCAAAAATGCAGAATTTGAAATTTTAAAAAGTCCCATTTTTAAACGGAATTCCTCCAACTTTCATAAACAAAATCTTCTTCTGTTGTTGTTTTCTTTCAGGTTGTGTTCATCTTTATTGCTTGCTCTACCTCAGTCCCGCCTTCGTCATGTCGCTGCTGACCCACGTGCTGGCGTGCCTTTTCGGCATGGGCTCCTGGGTGGCCATCAACGGGATGTGGGTGGAGCTTCCTCTGGTTGTCCAAGAGAAGGCCCCTGAGGGCTGGCTACTGCCCTCCTACCTCACCATCCTCATCCAGATGGCAAATGTAGGTCCTCTCTTCATCACTCTGATGCACCGCTTCCGGCCAGGTGCGCTGGACGAGCGGCCCGTCATCTACTCCATCGTGGGTTTGGGGATTGTGGCCACCTTCCTGCTCGCATTCTTCTGGAGGCACACGGTGATGATAGCTGGCTCCCTGCGCAGCGTACCCCTGCTGGTTTTGAGCTTCCTGCTCTCTGTGGTGGACTGCACGTCGTCCGTCACCTTCCTGCCTTTCATGATGCGTCTGCGTCCGGAGTATCTCACTACGTACTTTGCAGGCGAGGGCCTCAGCGGTCTTGTGCCCGCTGTGGTGGCATTGATTCAGGGTGTTGGGGTAGCTCACTGCGAAAATGCCACTTCGGCCGCAAACTCGTCGGCTCTCAACTCCAGCTGGGTGAGTGGCGCTGGGCTGCAGTCCGTCTACCAGCCGGCTAAATTCTCCGTCGAGGTTTTCTTCATTTTTCTCAGCACCATGATGGCTGTGTGTCTGGTAGCCTTCATCCTGCTCAACCTCCACCCGGCGGTGGCTCGCGAGAGGAAGAGCGACCGATACTTTAGTCCAGATCTGGAAACGGAGAAGAGGGATCCAGGCTTCTCTCTGAATGCCCAAACACCAGAGCAAAAGCCAATGATCAGCCCTAGAGAGGCCGCTGGGAAAGAATCAAGAGGTTCGTTTGGAAAGGGGACATACAGCAACTTGGAAGTGGTGTTCATCTTTGTTGTCCTTGCATGGGTCAACGCTCTGACCAATGCGGTTTTGCCCTCCGTGCAGACATACTCCTGTCTGCCTTACGGGAACAAAGCCTACCATCTGGCTGCCACTATGGGCGCTGTTGCTAACCCAGTAGCCTGCTTCATTGCCATGTTTGCACCAGTGAGGTGAGAACAACACACATTCAGCATTCTCTATTGTTTGTATTATGCTGTTTACTTTTTCAATTTAATTTCATTGTGAACTTTTTCCAGGTCTCTTATCTTTATGGGGTTTCTGACCGTTTTTGGGACTGGTTTTGGAGCCTACATCATGGCCATGGCAGCTTTGAGTCCCTGTCCTCTATTGGTCCACTACACCTCTGGAACCGTTGTCATTGTAAGACATGTTTTTAAGTCTTGTATCTTTTTAACTGCTTGGTACCTTCCGGACACAAACCACAGTCAACAAACGTCGTATGAATGTCGGGGTGAATCTGGTTTCACCAGATTAACCTTAAAACTTTGACACCTAACCATAACAACCCTCCTACTGGTCTAAGAAGTTTGTAAGAGAGCATCAGTAAACAAACAACATCATGAAGACCAAAGAACATAGTAGATACGTAATTCAAAGAAGGGTTAAATTTTGAAAACCATAAATCCTGTGCCAATCTATGCATATACACTAATGCGTTCTGTTCCTCAACAAGACTGTTGAGGAACAGTTGAGGACGATGGCTACTGAAGACAAACAAGAAATTCTGACTTTAATCCCAGAAAACAATCCAACCTGCCAAGAAAGCAAGGTAGCCGGGATGAAATAAGTTTTTCAGTAATGAGTTTTCAGGAGGTTTTGGGCTGGCATGGCAGGAGGGAATGTGGTTTGGCTCTACTGGATGCAGCAGTTGTTGCGATGGCGCAGGCGCGTCTTTGACTGCAGCCATAGTGACTTGAGTCTACAACTTACTTGTAGACTCAAGTAAGTTGAGTCTTTGTAGTCAGTACCACTGATTTAACTTTTAAATCTGACATATTCATCTGCAATATTAGGGAGTCATGAAAAATATTCAAACAGAAAAGAAATGTCTGCATTAAGCATGGAAGAGGACGAGGGCTACTGAAGACAAACAAGAAATTCTGACTTTAATCCCAGAATCCTCATCTGTTTTTTCTTTGCTAGAAAAAAAATGGGGAAATAAGTCAGATTAATTTTCTCCAGTGATCCTAATCCTCTCCTGTACTTCTAAGAATTTAGGTTTTTCACAGTTTTGACTAATTTTACACAAGCAAATATATATATATATATATATATATATATATATATATATATATTTAAAAAGTACGATTTCTGCTATTATTAAAGTTTTTGAAATGTATGTCACCTCATCTATCCAAAATACTGCAAGGGTCATACTCATGGTAATTTCTCAATGTTCCTTTACTATTACTCTTTTCCTAAGGTTGAACTCGACACTATCTTAGATTCAGATAAATCTGATGACTTGTTTTGTTTAATTTCTTTATGTTAGAAAGTCACAGAGGAATTCTGTGACATGGAAAAATTAAAAAGTAAAAGAACGAGTGGACCTTCAGACCGCCTTGTATAGAAAAAGGAAAATGATAATGAATTCATGTGACCAAGATATTAAACCACCATTTGCACTTTTTCTTAATTCTACATTACAGAGAGCTGCTGTAATTTCAGATTGGTTATTGACTTCCTCTCTGCCGCAGGTGCTGGCCTGGATCCTGTTCGTCCTCTCCCTCTCTTACGTGAAGGTCATCATTGGGGTCATACTGAGAGACGAGGGGCACAGCGCCCTCGTGTGGTGCGGTGCCGTAGTTCAGCTGGGCTCCATGCTCGGCGCCGTGTCCATGTTTCCGCAAGTCAGTGTCTACGGACTTTTCACTTCCGGCGATCCCTGCAACACTAAGTGTCCGTTGTAGACGATAAACACGTTTGCGTTAAACACTGCTGTACGACCTTTGGGGTAGATTGCACTTAATTTTGTAGCACGGAGCTCAGTTCACTCATGAATTTTGACATATTCCAACTAGCTTTGGGAGAGCTGAGAGGTTGCAGGTGACCTTTCCCACTCCTCTTTTTTATGTCTGTCGATTTATTTCTATTTATTGAAGTATGGAGTGAGCGTTACAAACTGCTCAAGTTACAGCCACGTGGTCAGTGCTCATCAGACCAAAGAAGACCAAATCGCAGAGTATTTTTTTTAAACATGTTTGCAATTCCTCATCAATAGAAAGATCATTTTACTTGAACTTTTAGTGTGATGTGAAAGTGTTGTCACTGCTTCTGTAAGGACATATGAAACTTTTGCTTTAAAATGTGCCTTAATGCTAGGTGATAAAAGATTCAAGCTCGTTATTTTGTGTAAAAAGTACAAAGTTGTTTGACTAAACCGATTTTATGTTACTGGGATGTAGATGATGTTTGACTTTATAAAGTAAAATCTGTTGACATATTACCAAAGAATAAGTCCTCTTTCTTTCCTCTCATTATACATGTCATGATCTTCATGGAAAGTGGTTTATCTTAAAAGATCAAAAGTCACAGTTTGTCGCTGCTTTTATGAATCTATATTCACATTCTGTCCTCACTTCCTGATCAGAATCAACTTTATTTTCCAATCTTGGAAAATAAGGAATTTCTTTGACTTTGGTTTTCAAGCATTTATTAGGTATAGACATTAAATACAAACTTTAAATCAACTTACACAAGAATAAAGGAACAGTACATGAAGTTGAGCAGTGGAGCTCTTCCAAAGTTACCTCTGACCTCTTGGCTGCTTCTCCAGTGAATGATTTCCTTCCCCAACCTGTTCATTTAAGATATGGCCATCTTCAAATAATGGATCAACAGTGCTCTGTGATTAGTGCAAAAGTTATATTCCACTTTTTGATGGGCTTTTATATAGAATCTCAGTCTAACACATAATTCATATTTTTAACAAAACAAAGTTGAAGGGATAACGGCACTATTGCAAGGCAAAGTAAAATACTCTTTTCTTGTTAGATGTTTAGAAGCAACAATTAACCCAGATTTCAAAGTTGGTTAAAAATTTGTTATACTTCTTCCAATTACTCAAGAAATCAAATGCAATCAAGTAAAAGACAGGCAAACACTTTTCTAAAAACATTTTAAATGTCTAGTGACATGCTTTCAGTACAGAAACAAAAGAAAACCTTGGTGCTTTAAAGATGGTCTATCTGGAAGTGTTTTAAACAACTGACATTGAGCATGAAACAGCTTGGTTTCCCTTATATGATGTGGCCTCAAGGGGGCCACATCATATTTAATTAAGTTAATTTTTCTCTTGTTTCTTTTTTCTTTTTTTTTTTAAAGACTGTTCTTGGTGTCCTTCTTGTTCGTCAACATCTCCAATAACGAAAGATTTCCATGTTTTTCTTGCAGTCTGCTTAAACACACCGTGATTGGCTGCCAACTGCAATAAACTGACAAAGTCATGACCAAAACCCTCCATTCTAGAGTTATGGTTTTTAAATCAATTTTTGATTATACTCGGTTCCTGGAGTGTTCAAACTAGAATGCTAGTGGAAAATACCAACATTTTCCACCGACAGTCAGTCAAAAAAGCCACCTGCTTTGAGTTCCTTTTGAACCATGACTGGAACATTCACCAGCATGTTTGTGTATTGATCATTTCAACAAAGGCACTTGACAAAATGTAATGTCTGTTACTGGTTTTCACAGCTGTTGAATGTATGATATGTTTTTACATTTTTAAGACGTGAAAAGATCTTTCATTTATGAAATTTAGCCGTCATAGAGCTAAATTTGTTTTTGCTTTTTGAAATACATAGAGATCCACGGAGTTAGCATAAAAAAATCAGGAAAAGTTGAGATTGCATGGAGACTTTGGAAAGGCACTGTGGATGCCTCATTTTCTTTTGAGACCTGTACATCTCTAAATATACCAGCAGGGGTCACTGTGTGATTTATGTTACTGTTATATTCGTCACCAAGTTCTGAGGCCAACTCAGCAATTCTGTCTTATGATTGAAGGCTGATGTGTAGCTGCAATAATTTGACTTGAGGTGTAATAATAGCTACATTTGTTTGCACTTTTTTTTTCAAGATACTATAGAGCTAATATATCTTGACTTATGACCCCTGATCATAAGTGTCACAGCTCATCTTTTATTTATAGCGACGGCGTGACGTGTTCCTCTGAGGTGTTGGCCTCGGTCACCAGAGCAGTGTGTGCATCATATCCTCTACACAGTAAATCAGAAAGTATCTTACCCCATTTACGTGTCTGCGTCTCTTAGCAGCCCGTGAAGATAAACGGGAATGAGAATCTCGTGGCCAGTCAGCATCTGATTCACGTCCCAGTAGCTCCACAGACAACATCTGGGGTCATCATCTCCTGGTGTCTCATTCTTGACCTATTCTTTTTATCACCACCTGTGGTTTTTGAGGCTTATGGTGTGCCGAGTGAAAAAGTAGCATATCTGTTTGAAAGGCCTGAAAATTGAGACAGGGTTTTACAAAAAAAGAACTCTTGAAGTCTTTTAAATGAGATTTAGAAAGATGGAGTCTGCTTATTTTGAAACCATCATCGATTTGGGTCACTTCTGCAAGACGGAGGGAGAAAAATAGCCGTGCGGTTTCTCCTTATCTTTTTGGCTTGGCCTCTCCTGCAGCTAGTATGACATCTCCTTTTCCGCCGAGCTCCTTGTCTTCCTCTATTCAAGCATATGGCAGACTTAGCGACCGTAATTTGAATTTAAAACACATGGGGGGGGAAATCCTAGCCCGTGCTGCTCTTTAATGGGCCGTCATGGGATTGGAGAATGCGGGGAATGATTGAATTTTGCAAGAAGGCCAAGAACGATCAAGTCTCGCCTGCTGTTATGCAATCGACCATTCCCCTCTTCCAACGCGACGTCTGGTAAAACCTCTTGGAGTAAGAGGAGGAGGAGGAGTGGGTGGAAGAGGGGGGTTAATGCTGGAAATCTCAACGTCTGGACCAAAAGAGAGAAAAACATTTTTTTTTGTCTACTAAATGACTCAAGGCCTCATAAAAAAAAGTCAGCTATCATGGGTAAAAAAGCCAAATAAGATCTGATCCACCACATGAAACAGAGAGATTTTCAACTACATTGATTTTAATGGTACTAAATGAGTCTTTTTACACTGAACTGCATGACATCCAATATTTTCTTTCAAACAGAAACATATGGATGACATAGAAAACTTGCCATTCTGGTCTTTTTCTTTGATTGAGTCATGTCTACTTTTTCCTGTTACTCTCCACTGGTTTGACTCATGACAGCTTGAAGAACAATGTTTAGTTTAATAAAGGTTTATTAAGATTTCCCCCCCCCCCCCAAAGCCAAGTGTTTGACGGACAAGTTAAAGTCGAGGCTAAAGTTTTTAAAGTTTTTGAGGAGATGATCCCAAGTCAGATATGAAGTATTCAAGGAATGAGTTCAAGTAAAGTCTTAACTCTTCGTTGGCCAGCTCAAGTATTAACATATTTGCACAAGGTGAAAGTCTAAGTCGACTTCCAAGTTTTAGAGGACTAAGTCTGTCAATTCTCAGCTTTTAGAAAAGCAAAACCAAGCAAATTCGAAGGCTTTTTGGCGGTCAGGTCAAATTCATGCCTCGAGCCAGTAAGTGTCTAGTCCAACCCAAGTCTCAAGTGAGTAAGAAGCAAGTACAAGTTGAGTCTCAGGTCTGTGAAAGTCCAGGCCCCAATTCACAACACATCATATCAAGGCATTTTACAAAAAAGGTACATGTTATCCAATCATAGATGCATTCCAGTTGATACTCATTATCAAACAATGCAGTCAAGTTCAGTTTATGAATCAAAGTAATTAGTTTTCTGTTTAAGGAAATCAAGCAGACTGCATCAAGCTATTGACTTGCAGCATCTAGCATCTAGCTACTGTAGCCAATCACTTGCACTGTGTTGTTGACTTTGCAGTAATCCCTCATACTGAGCAAGCATGTAGCAACAGCAGAAAGGAAAATCCCCCTTTAACATTAAGAAAGCTCCAGCAGAACCAGAACCTGGTGTGAACCTCGATGTGAGTGGTCTTCTGCCATGACTGACTGGGGGTTTGGGAATACCCACAAAAAAGAAATACAGAGGCTTAACAATGAAAAAATAAGAGGTAAAGTAGGTAGATATCCTTCTAAAATTACCCAAAGTCATGTAATATAGTGCTCATTTTTGTAAGAGATATTTGTGGTCAATTATATAAAACTACAACTACCAATATTAGATTGTAAACCATTAATAGCCCCAAATCTCTGGTTCACTGACTAACTGCCTAATAAATCAAGTGCACTTTTCACTGAAAAAAAAATGCTTGTGAAGCATTAGAACTGTGGTTTGTAGCTCACACATCAACTTGTTTAAACTCTCATTACCCAAGATTGAAAATGGTTCTTAAGACTCAAGTGAGACACCATAAGTCTAAGCCAAGTCTTGAGGCTATAGCCTGTGAGTCTAGGTCAAGAATGATATCTTCATGTTTGTGACTGAAGACAGCTGCTGTTCAAGTCTGAGACTTCAGTCATCATTTCTGCCACATCGTCTAAGCTTTCTCGCTCTTTGTGTCTGATTTCACATTGGTTATGGACCCTGTCAGTTAAGCAAAAGAGATTACTTTTCCCGTTATGTCCATTATATTCAAATGGACTGGGCCCTTTTTTTTCTCTTCTTAGCAACAAGACATAAAGTAATCAAAAGTTAAAAGCAAACACTCAAGGAGGCACTTAGCAAAAAAGAAAAGCTTTTATGATAAAACATTCATATACTGTACAGTGTAGGAGACAGGTAATCTTTGAGAATGATAGGGTTGTCTTGTGGTCAGTTTTGCGTAGTATTATTCAGGGAGCCTTGTAGACAAATTCTCCTAATGACCCTCCCCTTCGCCCCTACATCCACCCATCATACACAAGACAATCCAGCCAGAACAACTAATACCTGAGTGTACTTCCTCAATGGCGTGAAGTATGCCTTGAAAAGCTGTTGGATGCTAAAGTACACCAGTGTTCATTACTTTGACAGGCTGATGACAGGACAGACTGGCTGAGTTGCACTTCCACACACACATTCGATAACAGTAGAATATTTAAATGCAGCTATTTGACATTGGAAAACACAAGCTACAGTCATGAATGTTGATATGGTATCATATTGTTGAGCATTGACTATTGATAAATCCGTTTAATGGTTAAGCTGCAGTCAACAGGTACTGTGATGGAATTGCTCAGAGACGCATCAGCCAAGGATTGCTGGGAGACGTTCCAGGCCTCTGCAGTCTTGTGCAGGGTTCAGTGAGTTTAAACAAAATGCAAATAGTGAATCAGCCAATC